TATATATATGGCAATGGCTCCTACGCTACGGAAGAGAAATGTTGGTGATTAAACCAAAATTGGAATGAGCTACAGGTGTTAACGGGAGTTAAGTTTAATTACCCTTTCCCAGAAAACCTGCAACAGTGTGATGGGTATAGTCATAAACAAAAATTCTCCTTAATTGACATAACAGGAAAGGTACTTCAGTGAGCAATTATGCTGATGTCCTGCACTGGCACATGTGCGTACCACAAATATATCTTGTACTTCCTGCAAAATTCTTTTAAGTAGCTATAAGGAAGACGTTCTTTTTTTTTTTTTTTTTTTCAGTGGTTCACGAAAACGAATCACTTACTTAAGGCTCTTTTTGAGGAAAACAATGGAACAAAACAATGCTTTTTGTATGACCTGCCAAAGCACAAAGGATGCATGGGATGTTTTCTTTCTTTGTTGTTTTTGTCAGAAGGAAGTTTTGTTGTTGGAAACGACTATAACATGCACTGTCCTTGCTCTACGTAATCACTGTCTGGTCCTGCAAGCTGAGTTTTGTTACTTGTCTCATCAAACTGGCACCGTCACCGTTATGCTTCACTCTGTGGGCTTTGTTCAGTCCTGAGTGTTTGCACACTTACTCTCTATCCGGACTGATGCACAGTAAACAAACTTCAGGAGTCGGGTGGTCCAATGATTGCTGGGCTCGCGCAGGTCGGGGCCCACGGCTAGAATGCTGACTTTGTGAATTGCCTCCTTTTTTCCTTAGACAGCTTAAAATCGGAGTGCAAACAGCTTCGAAGTGTTTTCAGGTGTAAATATTCCTTTCCAAGACTCGACTTTGATGTTTTCGGGTCTGCTTTGTTTCCCTCTAGGTTAGTTGTAGGTTTGTGACAAAGAGCCAGATCCGACTGAGTAAATCACTTGTGGAAGTTAATTGTTCACAGTGAAAGCTGGTCTGGCTCATTTTGCCTCCGTCGCAGGAAGAGACAGAGGTGGTGTGCTGGATCTGCGTTCTAAACCAAGCATTGATGCAACTTTAATTTTGATCAGATGTCTCTCTTCAGGGCATTGAAGAAAACCTGCTCAGTAATCAAAAAGAGCCTCTTCTCTAGAGAAACGTAAGAAAAAAAAAATTAATGCATTTTACAGAAATAAAGTACTAATATAAAATTTCAGCTTGGTCAAATTTCTTTTGCAGGCTATCATAAAAGAAACCTACTTCTCCATATTTGGCAGCCACCAGAATCAAAGAATGATTTTTTTTTTTCTTTCCTGGAAAAAAGAATATGAAATTATTTGTAATGTCAGATACTGTATGATGGCAACTTTATATTCCAACTGTTTTTATTCACTGCTGCTCTGTTTAGGTTATGTTTGTTCCTTCTCTCCATCAACATTTTCTAATGCTTTTCAGAATCAGTTATGTTCTTTGATTTCATTAAGTAACAGCCTTCTTTTATTCTCTCCTTAGGACTGAAGCAGTGAGAATGGAAACCACAAAGATCAATATGTCCCGTGTCCCGCTGGTTAATGGAGGCATCGACACTGCCATGCTCAAGGCACACAAACCTCGTGTGATGTCCAAAAGCGGTCACAGCAATGTACGGATAGACAAAGTCGATGGCATTTACCTACTCTACCTTCAAGATTTGTGGACTACAGTTATAGACATGAAGTGGAGGTACAAACTCACCTTATTTGCTGCTACTTTTGTTATGACCTGGTTCCTCTTTGGAGTTATCTACTATGCCATTGCATTCCTTCATGGTGATTTAGAAATAAACACGTTCACCCCAAAGCACGAGCCATGTGTCAAGAATGTAGACTCTCTAACTGGGGCATTCCTCTTCTCCCTGGAGTCACAGACAACCATTGGCTATGGATTTCGTTTCATTACAGAGGAGTGTCCTCATGCCATTTTCTTACTTGTGGCCCAACTGGTCATCACCACCTTGATTGAAATCTTCATCACAGGTACCTTTCTGGCCAAAATTGCAAGACCTAAAAAAAGGGCAGAGACTATTAAATTCAGCCACTGTGCTGTCATTACTAAACACAATGGAGAACTTTGCCTGGTGATCAGAGTAGCAAATATGAGGAAGAGCCTTCTGATACAGTGTCAGCTGTCTGGGAAGCTTCTTCAGACATATGAAATTAAAGAAGGGGAGCGGATCCTGCTGAATCAAGCCAGTGTCAAGTTCAATGTTGACTCCTCTTCAGAAAGTCCATTTCTCATTTTGCCTTTAACCTTCTACCATATTTTGGATGAAAGCAGCCCTTTGAGAGATCTCACACCTCAAAATCTCAAGGAGAAGGACTTCGAGCTTGTGGTGCTCCTGAACGCCACAGTGGAGTCCACCAGTGCTGTCTGCCAAAGCAGGACTTCTTACATCCCCGAGGAGATCCACTGGGGCTACGAGTTCGTGCCTGTGGTTTCTCTCTCTCCAAATGGAAAGTACGTCGCGGATTTCAGTCAGTTTGAGAAGATTAGAAGAAGCACAGATTCCACTTTTTATAGTATGGACTCTGAAAAACAAAAACTAGAGGAGAAATACAGGCAGGAGGATCAAAGAGAGAGGGAACTGAGAACGATGTTGTTACAGCAGAGCAATGTTTGATTGAATGGACAAACTATTCTGATTAATCCTTTTTGCAAACTGAAAAAACATACTCTCTATGCTGTATGTCTGCTATGAAACCAGCAGTGAAGTCCTTTTCAGCAAATAGTTCTGGTGTATAGTAAACCTATCCCTTTGTTTGGCTGAGTTGTTAATCAAAGTATTTTGTAATTAGGCAGGATTTCTTTGTTCATGATCGTGACTTAGCAAAGTTGGATTTGTATTAAGTCTCTGCCTTATACCACCACTAAAAGCAGACACATCACTTTCCGTTTGGAAAGTGAAACTGGACACACTGTGCTGATTCCTTCAAATATTTATTTGACATGGTTTTACTGTGAGCATGCATTCACAGAGACAGCACACAGTACTGCTAGAAGAAAATATGCTCCTTTAAAATATGAATATTTAAAATGTATATTCTCATACCAGGTATTGCCTTCGCGGGGATTCCTGGCACTGAAAGTAACTTGATTGGCGAGACAAATGGTTGGATGTGGGAAGAGCCTGCAGGGAGCTGATAAACTCCTTCTTAAATCTTGAAGGAGGGTGACAGAGTAGTCGTGCTGGGTGGTGAGGAAGGGAGCTCGTTCTCTGTTTCCACTACTCAGAGCTTGTTTTGTAATTGCTTTGTGATCACTCACTTTTTAAACCTTGTTAACGCCTGATTTATATATAAAAGCAAAAAGGGGAGATTAGGGCAAGATACACAGAATCATAACAGTAGTCAACTAAGGTTAAAGCTGGCTTTGAGGCACCTGTTTTTTATCCAATGTAAATAGTTTGCAATAGCAGCATAACAATACATTTCTACAGATTGCTTGCTTTGCTATGGACCGTATTTAATTTTGGTTAAAAGAAATCTGTATAATGTCTGTAGACAATATTTACTTTTTCTGGCAACCATAAAGGACAAGCGTTCCTTTCATCCATTTCATTTTTGGTCTATTAAAACCATTCCATTAATAAAGGAATTTAATTTGAGCAGCTCCTGATCTCTTTGTGGGATGGGGAGAGGGTGTGGTACCTCAGAGATGTTGAAAGAGCCGAGTGCTTGGCATAGGCAGTTGCATCCAGCATACAACCCGGGAACTCAGCAGATCACTAAAGCGGTCAGATTATGGGTAGCAAACCAGGTAGCAGTGGTGTCCACGTAGCATGCCTGTTATATGTAGGTCAGCTTTTTTAATGGGACTTAGAAATTATTTCTGACTCATATCACTTTGGCAGCTTTCTGAGTTCTAGAGATTTCGCTCCTCTAAAGTTTTGGCAAGGAAAAGCTGTATTAAGTATGATTTTTGGGTCTGTGGGCCAGACCTTGGCCTGAGAGCCATCAAGGCCTGCAGTGATGGAAGGACTTTTGGCATCATTACACTTACTGTTACTGTGCTTAGCCTCCTGGCACCGTGTGGCCTGGTGGAATGCAGTCCTGCAGTCTGCCATACAATATTCTACACAATAAATGAATCTAACTTGGTGCCTAAAGAGGCACACAGCAAGTTGAGCACAGAGATGACCATGGCACCAAGAACGGATGTCAAGAAGAAGGGAGCACATACTGGGGGGGCGGTGGGGGGAGGTGGTGGTAAGGGAGGGCATTAGAGGCTTAAAACGGCTCGTTTATGTAAATGGTTAGCTCTCCCGTGAGAGAAGTCAGAGATCCAAGTACTTGTCTGAAGAGAGAGACAACTTAATCCAAGAAGGTTCCCTACCCACTACAATGTGAGCAAGGTTTCTCAAAACATTGTAATTGCAGGGCCCGCCTAGCATTTTTGGAAAGAATTTCCAGGTGGTATTACACTGTGTTGCCATACAGGTTTTCATTTGCAACCACATATAGAGGATGTTAATGTTTAAATTATTGGTTGTCAATTTTCAATTTTCCTTCACTTTGATTGCTTGTTTTATTGCAAGGAAGCACGTGTGCTCCATGAATTCTTGCAGTCACTTTGTAGACTTTGTTCATGTGCTACAACTCAAAGAACACTGCTTTGGGATGCTGAGGTGAAAGTGCGCAGGTGTCTTAACGCTTCTTCTGCCAAACCTTAGCCTCCATGTTTTGATAATCAAATATACACTCCAATTCTTTCTTATCTGGGTAAGTACTCAGATCATTCCTAAAGTCATTGTCTCAGCTGTGTATTGACTGTAAAACAGCTTCGCCAACAGCAAGTGAGCTGGTTCTTCTCCAGAAATACCTGATGATGAACTGGCCCCCTTACTCCTATCCTCTTTCCATCCCTAGAAATAAAGAGAGACATGTCAATTTGTATCTTTCAGGTGAACACTCCACCGATTTCAATAAACTTGTTTGTTACTGCACTTTCTTGCTTGTATCTTAAGAAATCCTAGTGCATTGAGCCCTGTAGGGTACACACGTCCCAAGTCCCAGTGGGCCTACATATTTTTTGAGTGTAAGATCTAGGAAGTCTTGTGGGTACCCAGCTGCAGCAATGTACTTGTGTGGGGACTTTTGTGGCAGCCATTTAGGAGCCTAGAGATCAGACTGCTCCAGGCTATGACAGCTGCTGAGCAGTAATTTTTTAGGATCTTCACTTTCGGAGCTAAGGAAGCACATAGATACTCAAGAAGTCTCTATGTATACCAGTCCCAAGGTTCACTCACTGTGTTCACTAGGCCATTCCAGTCATTAAATTATCCTGAAGAAAAAACATTATAAGCAAAAGCCTTGGAAAGAAAAAAAGCATCACAGAAATTATTTTCTCTGAATTTTCAGTCCTATAAGTCTTAAAGAAAAGAAAAGAAAAGAAAAGAAAAGAAAAGAAAAGAAAAGAAAAGAAAAGAAAAGAGGAAAGGAAAGGAAAGGAAAGGAAAGGAAAGGAAAGGAAAGGAAAGGAAAGGAAAGGAAAGGAAAGGAAAGGAAAGGAAAGGAAAACACTAAAAATCTTTGGCAAAGTCAAAGCAAACCTTCATCAGGTAGTGACAGACTGTACAGTAGTATTATATACATACATTAGTATAATATATAATACACTGCTACTCATTCATTCCAGCTCCAGAACACAGTCTTACTCTCCAACAAGCTGTACTTTTCCTTCCTGCTATCATGCAAGCATAACTTGCATTGCTCTACCTGCAAGTTAAGAAGTGCAGAAGTAGCCTTGGAGCAGCATGCTTAGCTACAGAATACTGAACTGCAGTGGAAAAATGTCATGACATGTGGATCTGTTATGAATCACCAGCAAACCAAAACCTCTCACTGCTTGTGGTAAGCTCTTCTGGTTGTGTAAACACACCTATGGTGATTTACCTCGGCTGAGGACTGACAGGATGGAGAACCAGTAAGCAAAACTTCCATGGCCATCCGAAAGCTGCCTTACCCATGAATAAGGACTGTCCAGTACACATGGTGATTGACGGTGTGAGAGCCTTCTTGTCTGCTGACTGCTTGTCCCAAGGGTGTCAGGGCAGAGCATCCACAGCTCCAGCAGGTCAGCTTGCTACACAGCAGGCAGCAGCCACACCTTCTCACTCCTTTCCCTGCCGCACAAATGGAAGATAATGCTTTGGGAACCACCAAGTTGGATGATCATACTAGTCTCTAAAATGTACTAACTTTATGAATAAATTTAAATTTAATCTGAATCTAAAATTTCAGGGACTAAAGAAAGCGGTGGAGCCCCATGTCCCTTTGTGCACTAAGTGCCTGAGTATATCCGTCAAGTAAATCCTCCATTCTAGTCACTAGATCATTCAGAAGAAAATAGTCATGGTAAATTAAAATTTACTTTTTTAAATTTACTGAGGAATATGGCATATTTATCTTTCTTTTATTCATGAGTTATCAGTGAGCAGAACATTTTTAGAGTAATTTTAATTATTTGGACTTGTACAGCACACAGCTGAGTGGGAGCTTATTTCAGTTCATGGACTGTTTCTGAACTATTTGCTTTGGCTTCGGCTTCAATACTTCATCGTTCTTTTTTTTTTTTTTTTTTTTTCCTTCTCTGTGGAGGTAGATGATTGAAGAAGTATAATTTCACTTCTGTTGCTTCCTTGCAATGACTTAGGATGGGAAGAAATGAACCCCCAGAGACTGCAGGCTGACTGTGCCAGAGTCAGATCCACCATCCTTCACAAATGTTTCACTTCATCTTCCAAACTGATGACAATGTTTGTGGAAAGCCAAGAATTTGACAGAGGAGCATAGTGGTCTCCAGAACAATGTGGTTCTCTAATTTTCTGAGTAGAGGTAGGAGGGCAAATAGCCATTAGGTCTAAAAGATACTGAGGGAAGGGATGCAGAATGGAAAAACAGAGAGAAAAAAAAAAAAGAAAAAACCAACAATCATGCATACTTACACTCATCCATATGACTGAACATTTGCCATTTCCATAGGATGCCAGGTTAAAAAAAAAAAAAACTCTCTCAGATTTGGTGAGATGACTCAAAGGACTGGGAAAAGTGAATACAAGTTCTGTATTTGAACAAATGTTCCTGATGATTTCTGAATGTGTTTGCTCAGTGTTAGCCTGATGACAGCCTGATATTGAAAGAGAACAGGTAAGACTCTGTGATGACTTTATCAAATCCATGATGGAGAGAAACTTAAAAAAGCATAGCGTATGCTCTAGCTCTTGCTTATTCATTGCTAATATACCATTTGGCTGCAAAACAGTCATATCCTGGTCACCCTCATGTTGATGGGATTACATGAATAAAGGAATGTTACCCTGACTTGCCTGCTCAGCCTTCAGCAGATACTCTCTGCAAATATTAGATTACCAGAACAGAGCCCTTTTAATGCAATAGGTACTGGTTGAACATCCTGTACCTAAATGGCTTGAAAAAGCTTTTGGAGCATTTCCAGGATGTCATATATTCCCTCAGCAGAGACTGTTCAGAGCTGCCCTGTCCTGTGTTAGCACATAGTACACACAGCAAAACAACATAATTCCACAAGTAACACAACATACATATGCTCTTTGTGTCTCCTCTGAACAATAAATTCCACAATGGTCACTGTTCACCTCACCGT